ATATATATATATATATATAATTTTTATAACAGCAATTTATCATTTATTTTCTCTTCATGGTCATGGAAGCATATTGTTATCATCAATGTGATTTTATGTGCAGAAAGATTAGTGCACTCTTGTTTGAAAAACAATTGCATTGCATTCCTAGCAGGTCAGTTCCATTAAAGTAAGGTTACTAAGAAGTTTTCTCAGCACTTAATAGGTTGCCACAAACCATAAAAAAGACCATTTGCATATAGACTTGTGCCGGTATTCGGTAATGCGATATATCACGGTAATGAATATGCACGATATTGTTATTGTGGGCACTTCTAAATACCGTGAATAATTATATATTACAAATTATTCCGAATTTTGAATGCATTTTAAGAATACTTTTTCCATCAACTGGTCAAAATGCACAGTTGGAGTGCAGCCTGCCTGTTTCTGTCATCTGCCTTGGTGGTCGCAGAGCGCTCGGACCCCCATCTAACTCACTCGGCACAGTGTCTACATGCATTTACTGGTGACTGTTGTAAAATATTTGGATGGGAGTCCTTACTCTAGACTCTAGCTCTGCTCTGCTTTTGATGCCCTGATTTTAGGGACAAAAGGGAACTGAGTAGCGTTCTTCTCTGCTAGGCAGTAACCTTGGAAACCAGGGGCCAAAACAGGACCCCTGACCTATAGAGTCACGGCCCATTGTGGGAGTGGCTCTTAAGTGGAGCTGGTCAGAGGGCGTGAAGCTCCTCCGCGGGTCTCACATCTCCTTTCAGCGGCACAGAATGCATTAATGGGGTGTCTAACAACATGAAACTACACGTAGGGTGGCTTTTAGACAAGGCAGTTGGACGGCTGACAGTGGATTGCTTCTTGTGCAATTCACTGAATGTTCTTAGTGTGCATGCAAACAGAGCTACAAATACAAGCCATTGGGTTAGGGCTTTTTTTTAGGGGTTTCGACTGCTCTGTTTGGTTGTCACCTTGCAGAAAACGTACATGACAGCTGTCGGATGAGACTAGTAGTAGAAGCTCCCGTCCAGGCAGAAGATCTGGCACTAACTGTCATGCCATCCTTGACCTGCACTGCTGAATATACCCATTGTTAAGTAACTGTGCTACTATTCTGGGCAAGACATAATAACATGAGGTCAACCAATGGTCTGAATTTGGGGTGGAACTACCTGTATGTTAATTCAATTATACATGTTTCAAATAAATAATGTTCTTTTGAACTTTCTATTCATCAAGGAACACAGAAAAAAAATGTATCTCAGTTTCCACAAAAATAACAGCACAACTGTTTTCAACATTGACAATAATAATGTTTCTTGAGCAGCAATATTAGAAAGATTTCTGAAGGATCATGTGACTCTGAAGACTAGAGTAATGATTACTGAAAATTAGAGCTTTTGCCATCACAGGAATAGATTACATTTTATCTTTATTATATTAAATATATTAAAAAGACTTGGTTAGGTAACACTTTAGGGTAACACTTTAGTATAGTATCTCACTATTGCTTATTAGCATGCCTATTATTAACATATTGGCTGTTTATTAGTACTTATAAAGCACATATTCTGCATGACCATATTCTACATCTTTAATCCTAAACTTAACAACTGCCTTACTATTAATAAGCAGTAATTGGGAGTTTATTGAGGCAAAAATCGAAGTTAATCGTTAGCTAATACTGAGAACTGGACTTTAAAATAAAGTGTGACAATTTGTCATGTAATAACATTTTACAATATTATTGTTTTCTGTATTTTTTATCAAGTAATTGTAGCCTCGATAAGCATAAGAGACTTCCTTCAAAAACAAAAAACGTACAGACTCCACAAACAGTATTGTATAACAGTAATGTATAATTTATTAACATCCAAAAGAGACATAATCCAACAGTGACTAACACTAATTGGGCGTAAGCATCAGGAGAGCAGGTGTGCAGCACGGAAGGCATCATTCAGCGTTATCAGAAACTACACCTTTAAAGCTGGTCCCTGCAGGGCTTTGGCTCAGCAACTAAACCGTGCATTAGCATGCAATCACTTCACCTGTTTGTGCTTCTATCCTGTGGCTCTGTAGTTTTTATAGGCCACGTAATACCTGCTTTGAGTATCTGAAACTTTTTTCAAACTTTTGCTCAAGTCATTAGCAGTGTTGGGAAATAACCAAGTATTGTGACAATAGTTGATTTATTTTAAAAATACTGTAGCTTATCTGGTATCAAGCTACCTTTAGCGATGTAGTGCAGTGCTTATTTATATAAATTAGGGTGTATTCTAGTATTTGATCTGTCCAAATGTATCTGTTTAATGCTGTAAATCAATAATTCAAATGCCTGTTTTTGTGCCAGAAAAAGTAACGGGAATGTAGTTCCAGGACCTTAGTGAAGACAGTGGGCTTTTAACATAGCTGGACCCAGATAAGCTAAGCTATAATCATCCTTCTGATACATTCCTCCTCTTCACCTCTGCTTGCTAGCCTTCTATCCCATGAAGCTCTTTCTGACACTGCATAGAAAGAAAGTCTGGTGTAGGATTAGGATTAGTCAGCTTTCTTTCTCAGGACGACATCACACGCGCTCACACACCACTCAGATTCTCCTTTTGCCTTTAGATCCTTTTATCCATTGAGAGACGCGTCTGTCGTTGTAATTAAAGATTTGTGGTGTTGGAGAACAAATAGAAGATCTGATCCTGCAACATTACCTCAAAATAATAATTCTATCCTGCATTCTTCTGGGCCAGAAGTCATTCTGGACTGTGTGGGCCTTCAAACACTAGTGTAGCTTTGTGCCGATTCATGTGATTCTTTTGATATCATACTAAACAAACCAAGTGCTGATACTCTTGCAAAGTGGTTTCACAACAGTCTTTTGGTTTCGCTGACAGTATGAAACATTTCCTAGTGGCACTATCATGTATGTCTATCTGTCGACTGGTCTGTTTCTTTCACTGCGGGACTGCTTTCTTTAACACTTCTTTTTTTTAGAGGTTTTATTGAAGTTTGACAGCCCGAAAAGAACAGTGAGTGTAAAATGGTCTTGACAGCCAGTGTTTATATCAGGTTTCAGTTAGGAACATTTGTATGTGGGTCTATTGTGTATTGAATAGAATGAAGAATGCGGTGGTAGTTTTTTGTGGCTCCTGGATTGACATAATGAGGTAGGCTAAGGATACTAATGCTTAAGGTTGCTAGGATCAGTTTCATTCCCAAGTAGAGGTGACTCTCAAAATAATTTGTTATTGGCAAATTTAATTTCACTTAATGTTTCTACCTATAAAATGGTGCTTAAACTGTTAAAAAAATATATAGGCTACAACTTAAAATACAAGGGCTGTCAGTATTTTAAATCTTTAAAAAGTTGGCATGTTTAGTTCAATGTGTTACTAGAAATTTCTTTGTAATTGTTTATGAAATTTACTAGCAATTTATGAATGAAAATTGTTGCTACACCAATGTTTTCAGTGTACTTATACTAATATATATAAGTATAATGTATACTAATATTAGTAAAAATACTAATATATTCAATTCCTGAATTTTTAGTTCCATTTTTCTTATGAAAATCATTTAACTGTAGATTACTCCAGGGGACTTTCCCTGCAATTAGTATTCTGCATGTTGTTTCGGATGAAATGTCTACTTCAGTGAGGAACTAAGTAATAATTTGTGTGACCCTTAGTTCACATGAGTTGATGATATCGATTACAGCACTTTGTTTCCATCACTCAAAACTACCTGGAAATCAGTTTGCAGTTTTTCCTCTGATGGTCTGATAGAAGAGGATCAAACTCTAGTACTTATTGTTTCTTTTTATAGCTGGCTAATAGCTGCTCTCCAGAAATGTACAGGGTTGTGTATTTTTTTATTTCTGTACATGCTGCTACTATAGAAAAAGCAGAGTTGGTTTGAGTGTTTTTCCACTCACAATGAAAAATAACTCAAATCACCTGGTTTGTTGATGAAAGCTGTGCTATGACTTTTCTAAGCAATTAATGTTGTTTTTTCATAGCTGTTCAAGATTACATTTCTTCTGAGGAACACAATAATTTGTTTTCATGATGGACTGAGGCTGAGGAAACAGGTCCGGCTCAGTTAGATGTTTGTCATCAGGAGTCAGATAGATAACAGAGCAGGCTTCAACTTGTCTACATTACCACACTACACGTCCTCATCCTCCCTCTGTTCTCTTTCTTCTTGCTCGTTCGCTACTCCTGCTCCTCTGTCATCTCGGGAAAGCCTTCTCCTGCCAGTTGAATTTATGGAATCTTCTAGACTGACTTGCCTGGAGGGGAGAGAATATGCAACACTATATTTAAGAAACATGACTGGGGCACTCATTATAAAGTCTGCTTCGTCCTTCAGTAGCTATTTATTTTTTCTGTTTGATCTCTGCCAGTGAAATAACCCATATGTATATATGGCCTTTCCAAAAATCTCCCTCCCAGAAAGAATTTGTTTGGTTGATCCCTGGCTAAGAGTGACGTACTGTACTTTGGTTAAGGTATATCATAAAAGTCAGCTGAGGCATTCCAGAGGTGAGATTTGGCCCTTTCTGAGAGCTGTAACAAGTTCCCTCATGATCATGTGAAGAGATTAACTGATAATGTATCGACAGATTGATTCTTTTGTTTGAAGTGTTAGATAACCAATATGCCAATAATTATTGTATTGTTGCAGCTTTTTGGCACAAATATCATTAGAGTGAAACAATATAAAGATGCATTGTGAATATACATAAATATATCAAAGTTTGGGGTCAGTAAAATGTATTGTTTTATAAAAAAAATAATATTGAGAATAAAGACATTTAATGTTACCAAAGACCTCAAATAAATGCTGCTCATTTGAACTAATATAATTAAAGAATCCTGAAAAAAGTATCATGGTTTTCACACAAATATGAAATAGCACATCCATTTTCAACATTGATAATAAGTTAGAAGTTATAATAAGTTAATAAATAATTTCTGAGGAATCATGTGACACTGAAGACTGGAGTAAAGGCTGCTGAAAATTCAGTCACAGAAGGTCATTACTGAAAGGGGTGGCTGTTCACAGAGTGCTGTATCAAAGCATATTAAATGCAAAGTTGACTGGAAGGAAGAAATTGGGTAGGAAAAGGTGCACAAGCAACAGGGATGACCGCGAGCTTGAGAATACTGTCAAGCAAAGCCGATTCAAACACTTTGGAGAGCTTCACAAGGAGTGGACTGAAGCTGGAGTTTAAGCTCAGATGTCTTCAGGAAAAGGGCTACCAAGCCACTTCTGAAACAAGAATCAATGGGATATTTTCAAGAGAAAGATGAGAAACAGTTGATCCAACAATACAGACGAGCTGAAGGACTTTTTGAAATAAGTTACAAAAAAATGATCAGTTTAGTATCAATAGCTAATATAAATAATGAATAACTATAATCAATAATCAATGTATAATAATCAAAATATAATAAATATAATAACATAATATAATAAAAATAAAACCATAATAACTATAATCAGTAATCAATGATTATGAATACTGCCTAACAATACAAAAAATACAAAAAAAACTGTCAAACCAATTATGGGTCTCTAGTCACGTGGATACCACAAGAAACTGACTCATTTGCTCTGTAAAGTTCTCCTGTAGAACAAACCCCTCATTTTTTTCAAGTGTCTCCCACCATCATGATGTAATCTGATGCTGTGGAGAGCTTGCCAAGGCTGCCTGATGTAGCCTGCAAGACTAAGCCTATTGTTTAGACACATTGCAAGATGACAACACAACTTGTTTCCCACTGGACACCAGATTCTGCGGTGAGCCTATGAACTTCTCCATCACAAACAACATTCTTTGGCCTAAAGCAAACCAAACGATTTCCACTTTCTGTATTCCAACATCTAGTTGGTTCCACATTAGCAGCATTCAATATCGCTGCCCATGGCACAAGTAGTGTCCTTCACATTTGTCACAGAACAAGGAGAACAGGTTCTTCCACCCCGGCGCCATAGAAAGGCGCGCTTTATTTACAAAAGGGAGAGAGGGGTGATCAGTGTACCGGTGGCAGAAGAGAGTAACCAGAGACATTCCCAGGGGTTTTCCTGGCTGTAGTCTGGCAGCAGGTCCATGGGAGTGAAGGAAGAGGTGTTTAACTGCTGATGGGTAATTTGGATCTCTCCTCAGCGGCATTAGGAGGAAATCAAATATATGTGCATTGACTGGAAGACAAGAGAGCAGCGGCAGCAAGTTTTTCTCAGGTGAACATCTTGTTTTGCATTTTATTTTATATAGCCGCATTTCATTGTGTGCTTCTCTCTAGTGTTTGTAGCATCATTAAATAAGAACTGGACAGGACGTTTGTCTCCAATTACTGCCTCACTGTGACATTCAGCTCTCTCTGCCTCACAGAAGGCTCTCTGCATCATAAAAGATCCTCTCAGCATACAAACCTATTATGGTTCGGCTGATTAACTTCCATTCTGTTTACTGTCAAGAAAGTTGTGAAGTGAGACTCTTTGTAGCCTTTGGGAAGCTTATTTGCAATTGAAATGCACTGCACCACTTTCTTTAATACAGACGTCAAATGAAAACACAGGATTTGCATTGTTTTTTTGCCAGTACAAGTTACATCCTCATTCCCTGCAGGGACAATATTGTAATTCGAAAAACTATTTTCGCAAGGGTGGAATTGTTCAGATCCATGCTTTGTGTTCAGAGACCACTGACAGGGTTGAAATCTTCCATCTCATAGTGTGACATGTCATAATAAATGGAATGTTCTGGGCTACATACAAGCTCTTTGACATACTGTTATGACATAAAACATCAAATAATTCTCACTCATCCTTCAATTCGTAAAAACAATCAAAATTCATGTTTACAATAAGGCACTTTTAATGACAGTCTATGGGGCAAGGTATCATATATTGGAATAAAAGGTTAAAAGTCTGCAACAATATAATTAATAATTTACTTAATAATGTGGTCTAAGTTTCACAAAATATGTGGAAGGATACTTTTTATTAATGTCTCTTACAGTAAAAACAGTAATATTATGAAATATTATTACAAAGCTTTCTAAATGCAATCTTTTTACATAATGCGGGGTAAATTTAAACGATTAATTATTAATAAAGCTTAACTTGCATTTAACCCAGAGCATTCCTTTAATAATAATCCAAGATGATGTCATGACCTTGTGAGCGAAACTGATTGTACAGTGAAACTCTGACATAAAGTGCTTCTTTTTCTAAGAATTCTGATTGCAGTACATTTCGGACATTTCTCACAATATTATGTTTCCTAAAGCTTTACTATTGCTGCACTTCTGCCCAGCTCTAAGTCTAATAATTTATTCATTGTTGTTTACTTCTAAAACAGCAGAATTTCCCATATCTTGTGTAGATTTGGGCTGATCACTGCAATTTCTCTTTCTTTTGGTCTTAAATCAGCACTCCAGTGAAGACAGCCATAAATCTCATATTAATCATTACCTCCACAGAAATGTGAGGAATGTCCATTTTTTACCCACTTATCTAACTTACTTCCCCTAAAGAATGTACCATTCGGCTCCCACTGAAAAGGGTCAGATAGAGAGAAGGACTGGCTCATATTAACTCAATGAGAAAAGTACACAGAAAAAGAGCTGGTTAAACAATAGAACCTGATGCCCCTCCTCACCACTGACCTATTACCAAATTACACCTGGACTGTGCAACTAGTTGTTTCTTTTGAAGTGTTAGTTGATACCTGTAAAATGTAGGCTGTTTCAAATATTAGAGATATTCCTCAACCATAAAAGTTCATAGAAGTTCATTGGTGAAAAGTGTGGCAACCCTGACCTACATTTGATTAATTTTAATGCGACCGTAAACGGGGACATTTGCATTTATTTTTAGTGCAATTAATTACATAAGCCAGATTGCTGTAATATATTGGTAGATACTTCTTTTCCACAGCCCTCTGAATGCTAATCAACCCTGCTGAATAATTTAAAAGCAATGTATCGTGCATAAAAGGCTTTGTAGGTGTTAACAGGCAAAGCACATCCCTGCTATATTTACTGAAAGTTTCTAAAGGTAGGTGTGAAGTTTCCATTCAGTTGCCATAGAGACTGTTTAAAATGCGTCCATAAAATACAGACAAGTGCCCTTAAAGTTGCACGTTGCAGTTGAGTAATGGAACATCCGAATCTCTGTTGCACTAATTTCTCACGTAGCTGTTTGAAAAAGTGCTTTAGGTCAGTATTGACCGCACTGAACAGGCGGGGGACAAGGATTTGCTCTGTTAAAACAAACCTGACCGGCTCAGGTCTGTGCCGGGCACTTCACAGCATTAGGGCTAATACGATTTAACACTCTCAGAGTGACCTCCACAAAGCCTCCTCACAAGCTGATCTTCATACATTAACGCACATGCAGGATTTGACACACCTCCACATGGCTTGCTTCTGCTTCAGACCACATTTCCGAATTTTGTTGCGTACATGAGCACAGGTGAAAACAATTTTGTTTCATAAAAGTTCAAAAGAACAACATTTATTTGAAAAATCTTTTGTAGCATTATCAGTAACATTTTAACATTTCGTAACATTAACATTAATATTATCTAGCTTTACTGCCACATCAATTTTATACATACTTGCTGAAAAAAATTTTTTTTCATTTCTTTAAAGGGCACCTATTATGCCCCTTTTTACAATTTGCAGTATAAGCCTCAGGTGTCCCCAGAATGTGTCTGTGAAGTTTCAGCTCAAAATACCTTACAGATAATTTATTTTATCATTTTGAAAATGCCTATTTTAAGTGGAAGCTCTTTAAATGCAAATGAGCTGCTGCTCCCCGCCCCCTTTTCCAGAATAGGGCTGTGCTTTTACAGCTCGAATCTCAGATACTCTGCCAAAAAACATCTCTTTGGTTTTGATTATCGTGTATATCGCGCTGAAATCATGCGTTTTAAAGACATTTCACACTTTAAAAAACCCAACTTTCAAAAAGTTCTACTAACCAATGTAAAAAAAGTAGCCTGATCAAAGAATTTTTAGTATAAGTCATAGGGCTGGGCAATTAATAGTTTTTTTTAAATGACGTTGATTCGATATCTATTCTCAAAAGCTGCGAATCGATCTTTTCCAGTATTTATTTCGGCACACGTTTAAAGTTTTTTTTAACAGTAAGTTTTTTTTACTTTAAACCGCATAAACACATTTCATTACACCAAATACACAAAATAATGTTCTTTTTAGCAGCATCATATGACCCCTTTAATAAATCTTTATTTTTAAAGGAATAATCACATCTGTTTTCTTTATAATTTTAACAGTAAACCTCTGTTGTGCAGCACTTTGTTTGCCAAAAAATAAAAGGGTTTAATTTTCATTTGATTAGGATAAATTAAATTAATGTTTTATGCCTTCATCTGATTACCAGAAAAATTAAGAACATTTTATAGGGCCCTATTATTGTTTAAAAAAGGACCCTATACAAAAAAAAAAGAATAGGTTTAAAATACAGGCATGTGGTTCTTAATTTCTTTTTATTAATTCACCATTTGTAAACTAATGTTTACTGTTCATTTTTTTAGAAATATCAATAGCATTTGTATTAAAACTATATTCACTGAATTTAATCAAAAAATGTATGTTCAAACAACATGTTAAAGTGAATTTTGCATAATAGGTGCCCTTTAAAAAAAACAACAACTTTATTTAGAAACTAATATAAGTAGCAGTGGTCATCGGGAATCCTTCAAAATCTAAAAAACATCAGTCTGGTTGATATATTAAGCGCTTCAGCTCATTAACTCCTAATATTAGCAAAATTGTTAACACCAGAGAGAACTTGCAGTGTGCCGAAGGTCTCTGTGGGGCCCTCAGGTCATTATTTTGTGATAAGACATTCACTTTCCTCTTTGCCCTCTCTGTTTGACCCCAAGCCTCTAACCCTGAAGGGGCATGTTTATGGTGCTTTTCCAATGGCATGACTGAACGGCCCTGTACTCACTAAAGAGAATGTCTCCAGTGTGTGTGCCTGTGAAAAATGAATGGTGCTTCTATGCCAAAATAAGACCTCTAAAGAACGTGCTGCAATCCCTATAAAGAGAGCTAGTGTCAAGTTAGGGCCTTTTCAATGAATGAAGTCGCCACCATTCGACTTGTCATATTTCACAGGGAGTCATATTCAGCCAAATGACTGTAGTTTGGTGCTAAATGGGTGAATAATAAAAGGGGACTTAGTGTCACTTTGGGTCCTACAAACTCTGGTCATGATTCCCAGCAGTTTTACCTCAACGGACCTTTTATTTACATCTATAATTAGTAAACAATAAAGAGGCTGTTGTTATGTTCCCACAATTAAGTGAGCTGTGTATAGAGGCAGCATTTTAAGGTATCATAAACACTTTTGATGCAATGCCTTTTTCAAAAAGTAGGCAGAATAATTGTTCCTTTATATATTTTGGCACAATTCTAAGGGATTATCACATGTATACTTTGCAGAGAGAAAAAAAAGCACAAAAAAAAAAACCCTTCCAAAATGGCAGACAAAGCAAGAGAAATTTGATTATAAATATACTACAGACGCCGATATTAAATTCTGGTCAATACAGATAAGATGATAATTACAGTATTCTATGAAGTGAGCATTAGATGACAACAAAAGTCATTTAAATATTAAAAAAAGGAAAACAAGCATGCACAATTAAATATATTTAATATTGACCAACAAATATTTAGTATTAAACAATACCAATAAATCAAAATCAATAAATCACAGTATCAGCTCATATGGTACTGATATATTGTACATACTTAAAATAAACTTTTATTTACATTGCATTCAGGAAAGTATTGATAAATTTTATCCATTTTGTTTTCCATGAGTTGATGTCTATGAAGTACTTTCCGGTTGGGAGGGTATAGTTAGTAGGCAGTGAGGCAGCTTACTAGGTTTTGTAATCTTTGTGCCCTCGGGGCAAACTGGTCATGTTCATTAATGTGATGATGCACAGAAGGGTTCATGTCTAGGTTTGTCCATGGCCTCCGGCTAAATGATACTAATCACGACATGTGCCTATGATGTAACAGAAATCATTGACCAGAGAGCTATGAGTGAATAAATAGCCCTGTAAGTTGTTTTTTGACTGACAGTACATGAAGGATAGCTGACTGGAAATGCCTTGTGGAATGAAATGTGTCATTTCCTGTGACGGTGTCAGCAGATCAGTCCTTCTCAAATTCAGTTAATGGGGCACCAAAGTCATTTTAAGTGTAAACCTGTTGTTCTGAATGGAATACTAGTGTACTGCTTACTGCATAGTACACACTATATTGTTTCTTTAAATATTAATAATGATGTTAATAATAATATTAGGCTAATATTTGGATTATAATCAATATATCACCTTTTTATAATATTTTGATCAAACTGCATTGTGGGATACATTACACACACAGTATACTCTGTACAGCAGTGTTTTGTCAAATGTAGTCACACAGGTAATGGATGAAGAAAATCCATGCTGCATATAATTGCAGAAATAGTAAGAGTTACTACTCTAATATGCTATTCCAAACATCACCTTCTTGTCTGTGCTGGAACAAGGTTGTGCTGGCCTGTGCACAAAAATGTGACACAAAGCAAGAATGAGGCAGTATGAATGTTTAGAGCCAAAGAAGGAAGTAAACTTCTGATGTTTTTAGAGATACATCAAGTTGCACAGGAAACTGTCTTGATGAGAGAGAATGCAAGTCTTAACTTGATTTTTAGAGGTATGTTTGGAATTTGAAGGATCTTTGAGACCTGCTTTAGCTTTATATGCCTTGTGCACTTTTGTATAAAAGCTATTTAGCCAATGTATATGTTTTTAGGCAGACACATTATTAGGGCTGCAACTAACGATTATTTTGATAATCGATTAGTTGGCCGATAATTTTTTCGATTAATTATACTCTATTGTAAATATCTGGGTAAAATAATAAAAGAAAGTGTTCAAAAGTACTTTAAATATTACATTGAGAACTCTGACTTCCTCTCATTGGAAAATGTTTTAACTTTTATCCAAACAGCCAGGTAAATTTGACTCCTCACTGAAATTTCGACTCATGGATGTCATTTGTTACATTCACAATCATTATATAATGCAAATATATACCATACGAGATATTTAAAACAGCATCAGAAGAAAGAAATGAGAAGTTCCAGGTGCTCTTTAAACAAATTAACTAAACTGAACCGCTGTGAGGTAGACAGGCCTCTAATTAAAGCTTTTCCATGAGGGGGATGTAAATGAGAGTGTGTGTATGTGTGTAAGGGCCACTGGCTCTGAAGGGCCCGACTAGGCTGTAAATCAAACCTGGTTTCTCAACTCACTCTGGCTGTTCAATGTCTGAAGCAATTATGGAAAAAGACTGGATGCAACATTTTTCCTGTCCTTCAAGATTTGTGGCCACTTTTAAAAGGGTTTTGAACCTTTGCTAACCTTCCCCCCAATTCCTCAGCTCACGTCATAAAAACTCAAGCTTTTTTGTAACAGACCACAGACATTCCTCGCACAGTTGCTACGGCTGTCAATAGATTACAAATATAATTGAATTAAATACCTTACCATAACCTTCATATGTTGTATAAACAACTGTAAAGACATCAGTTTCCTGGTTTGTCTGTGTGTCAACATCACTTTGGTTCACCAGACTGCATTTTAGGAGGAAGTATATGGCTATCTGAACATGATTGTAGCAGCCACAGTGTTATAAGCACAAGGGATATAATATAAGCATAACAGTCAGTGTTTACTCATGTTGTGACACAAAGCATCATCATGCATATCAAACCCGAAATTATCTGAACTCAGCATCTAGTTATAAAATTATTTCCCAACATGCCCACTTCCTTTCACACGGAGGGAGAGCAGTCACTTATTACTCTAAGTTGCCACATTAGAATACTTCACTATCCATCCTGTCAATCATAAACTAAAGTGGCACTCCAAGTCATGGCATATTTATAATCAGCGCTTGCGCAGACGCAGGTCTTGTGCAGTAAGTGTTGTAGTTAGCTGAGTGCTGTGATGGCAGAAAACTGAGGAGAGCTCGGCCACATCTCATGCATAAAATCATGAGGTGCCGTTTTGATCTCTCTATGGGTAAAAGCCTGAACTTAAGTGCCGCACCTTTTTGGCCTCTTCTCTATTTGCATAATCACTCCAGTAGTGTAAGGCTGAATTTGGTAAATGATCATTTTGTTGATATAAGGAAGAGCCTGGAGGGGATCCTGTGCTTAACTGCGCATTTGTAAGCATAATGTGTTGACATCTGGTGAAGCTGTTAATACATTGCAAAAAATGTAAAAATTAAGATTTTTTTTTATTATTTTTAAATTATTATTAGAAATTATTAAGGGAAAGCAAAACCATTTGTTTTTAGAGAATATATCTTGAGGTGAGAATTTTTCTTTCTCCATTGGCAAATAGATTTTTTTCCTGTTTTAAGCACAAATATTAAATGTAAACAAAATTAAATTAGGTTTAACAAAATTAGTTGAGCTTTTAAGAAGCATTTTACCACATTTTTCATGAAATATATCTTAAGTATTTTTTCTCCATTGTTTTTATTAAGTATAAACAAGATTTAGTAACAAAATTAAGTGAGGTTTACGCTCAAAACTGAACTAAAAAAAATGAAGATACATTCCCTTAAAAATCTAGAAAAATGTTCATTGATTTTGTTTTCAGGATGTTTAGATATTTTTATGGAAAACAAGTCAAAATATTTATTTAGAAAATTATTTTACAGTATAATACTGGAATATCAGTGGAATAAATTAGTTCTCTGAGTTTTAATTACCAGGACTTCAATTGTGCTTCAGCGTTCACTGAAAATGAATGCCAAAGAGATATTGTGAGCTTCAAAAAGCAATTTTCACTAGCAACTTGGATATCTGTCCCAGCAAGTTGGTATTTATTAATATTTTATAAAACAAACATATCATAAGAAATGTAATTTCCCTTGATCTTTTGCAATACAACAGTATAAACACCATAAAAACATCCTGTGACCTCCAGGACAAAGAATGCCTCTCATCTACAGTACAACTCTTAAAGGCACAGCAGCACAAAATGCACCTAGGCTCACAAAGAGGGTGGAAAAGTTCATTAGTGTTTTGGGAAAACAACAACAACAACGACAAAAAACTTTACTAGGTGGACTTCAGGAAAAAACAAATTAGATAATTAAAAAAAAAAAAATAACACATAGCATGGCTCCTGTAATGCCAGATCCATCATCATGGGGGAAGGTCACAGTGAGCAAATGTTTGCTTTGGATGAGATGCCAGAGGTGAAGATGCACTAGACGAAAGGAAACACTTAAGAGACGTTCTCAACATGACCCAGAGGTGCCGAGTAGTGATCTGGCAAAGTGCTAGAATATTTTAGGCCTCCGTTTTTCTGTATTAGCTCCACCAAAAAGTCACAATTGGCCTAAGTGTATTATTTATGCCATTATATTATTTATGACTCTTCAGAGGGCACTAGCTCTTTTTCAGTCTGTTTATTCTTAGTTACAGAAATGTGTCCTACATGTATATAAGACAGACAGTATATATTCACACTGGATGTGCCTGTAGATGAGTGTACACACAAGCAGAAACACTTAAGTGCACTTCTTTTTATGGGTGTTTGAGGCCAGTTAGCCTATGTTTATAGCAATGAGAGAGAAGGTAGTTGAGGTGAAATCAATACAGGCTCTTAATGAGGTGCTCTGGAAAGAGAAAACTGATTGAGAAAGGGTTAGAGAGAAACAAAGAATGAGGCACTACTAAACAGATATATTGAAACCCAGACCGTTTAGAAGCAGGGCAGCACTTGAGCGAATAAGTAGATCAACCTCACTTCCAGGGAGAGGAAATGTTCACAACTTAGTTTTTTTTTTTCTTTTTTAGTAGGGAAAGATTAGTGATTACCAGAGGACATTGATTAATGCAGCAGTATTGCAGTGTAAATTAAAAGTGTTTTTTTTTTTTGCATTCCAAAGGCATCTGTCCTCATTTTCAGGGTATTTGGCTCATGAGACGATTCCCAGCTTGTATCATCTCAGTTATATAACAGACTTGTGAACTTCAGTGTGTAGAGTAGTTCTCATTTCTAAAAGGAAAGCAGAAGCTTTTGACCTATTTTCATGTCGTGGTCTTATATGAAATGGTTTTTATTAGACTACATATATAAATGTGCTTATGAGTTGCTGACATTTGGAGTAGGGGTCGACCGATATGTGTTTTTCAAGGCCGATGCCGATGAGCACTGGCAGCAGTGTCCTGCAGTGTGACATTATCAAATAATTAAGAAATTTTCTGTTTTGTAAAACCAGCAAGTAAAAATAAGTTGGATGGTAAGAGGAATAGCTTGCTTCATGATGTGAAACATAAAGATGGATGCAACCAGAGCTTCTTGAAATATCCGTATTTTCTGCAGAAGAAGGATTCAGGTTTCATATTTGATCCTGTGAAGGGGTTTTCATTGTTTTTCATTTCTCTTCTTTCAATTTAGATATCCCAGTGGAGCCATTTGATCCTGTAACCAATGGCAACAGTCCAGGCCCTGTGCTTGAACCAGGACCCCAGCAAAAGCATCTGTGCCGGTTATCCAGCATCCACTTTGGCAGGCCACTGCGTCATGGGAAGTGTAGGCAGCCTAATCGAGAAACCAGACGTGTCACCAACCAAGAGCAACAGAGCAGTTCCACAAGTGCCAGGACGTCAGAACCACGGCCTGCTCAAGAAGGGTTTCAACCAGAGAGAGCTGCTTAACTATCTGAACATCACCAAGAAGGAAGCAAAGGGCAGCAAACACCTCATCTCTGGGACATCCTCTATCAAGAGAGAGCACAGGAGAGAGGACGACGATGTCTACACTAAGGTCTACCACAGGGATGGAAAGGAGGTCGATTTGGGAAAGAACTCACTTCCCATAGGTGGCAAGTTTGACAAGGTACACAACTGTCAAAGAGTTGCTTCATTCATGTCATGTAAGAATTACAGTAATTGTAATTTTCCATGTTTGTCAAGCTCAAAATTACAGGTTTGAACCTCTGGCCAATAGCAGATGCAGGGAGTGTTTGGGAACCTGGCTTTAAACAGTTATTAGTTTTGATACTGTGTTTAAAGACTCAAGTGGTGCAGAAATTACATACTTCAGCTTCATATATTTTACACGTTGTGTGTGTGTGTGTGTATATATATATATATATATATATATATATATATAATTATGTATAATTCTGAGTATAATTAGGCCAATTGTATAATCTCAGTAAATTCACTATGCAGAAAGTGACGGTAAAAACGGAATGACAGAGTAATGACGGAGCTGATAACGGTATATAGCTGTTTTAATTTAGTCCCTTAATATTTCTCTTGTGGCCCGTACATAGTGAGAAGAAAAATGAGAAGAAACGTATTTTGTGTTAAACAGGTTGTTTTTGAAAGTCGGTGCTTGAAATAGGCTAAAGTCATAATAATAACATACATAATAGAAATAAGAATTAAAGGGATCGGGAAAGTCGTGGCCTAATGGTTAGAGAGTCGGACTTGTAACCCAAAGGT